AGCTTCGTTGGGACTTCATATCATCGCAGTTTTTGTACCTATAACCCTGAGATTGGAAAGAGGCACGTTGTCGTTTTCGATTTTACGTTGCCTTGGAATGCTTTATGCGCTAGCAGTATCCGCTTGGATGCGCCTACAGTCGTTTCTTCTCGACCACATAATCGATCATCGTTCGCAGCGCTGATACCATTTCTTCGCCTTAATTTACAAATTTTTAACAGAAAAACGGGATCTGGACTCTTTCACTACCGATTTTAAAAGAGACAAGATTTTTTGGGCAGTAGTTCTAGCATGTAAGTTTCAGTTCGTAACATTATTTCGTTGGCGATAAGTAAGTTGTCCGGCAACGTATTATGTCTAGCAAACGAATCGATGGGTTATCGTGGCACACCAAGATATTGGCCTTCTGCTTGCACACATTTACGAGAGATATCATCGTGGTACTTACGAAGGACAAAAAAATCTACTTTTGGATAGAATCTCCAAGTAACGATTTCAAAAGAGGTTTGGCTTTTTTTGTGCCATCTTGACAGCACTTCCAACCTACATTTTACAAAAAATATAGGCATACACATATGTGACACCTAATTGTCACGCCAGGATATTTCAAGGCAGCCCAAACTCTACTGTTGTTCTATTCGTTTTGATTTTCGCTCGGCTACTGTGAATCTCGGTCCGCCGGCGATCTCAAGCTCTCCTCACCCAATTTCCTGACTGCTATGGTTACGGTTAGTGTGTACTTTGTTGCGAAAATTCATTACATTACCATTGATGAGGTACAAATTTAAATTATAACTGAAGTACCGTATTGTACCGGAGTCGGGTAACCCCTTCCATGATATTTAAATAGAAACGCTTTTTTTGCGTTTTGTTGTAGTTCTAACCGGTGGGTTCAATGAATCGCGCGGGTATTGTGAAGCCGATATTGCTGTCCGCGTCCTCTGGCCTCAGCTCAATACCATAAATATATGGGACGCCCTTATCCTGCATGTAATCGATGCTTGTTCCTGATGCTGGATCTGCAAAAGCTCTTAGAAAATTAATTTCCATTCAAAGCAGTAAAATGTAAGGCAGTATTATACGAATGAAGTTAGCTATTTTTTAAATGAGTGTTTAATGAAAATGACTATTTTTAGATGATGCTTTCATATAATATGGATAGTGGGCACTAACTGGAGATGTGCAG